CTGCTCGCCCCGCCCCAGCGCGGTGCTGCGGCCAGTAGACCCCGCCTTAGGAGCTTCTGCGAAGTGCAGAGCTTGTTTCTGCAGTTTTACAGCCCTTCAAGGTACCCTCACTCCCGTCACTTTTCAGAGTTAGTATTGTTATTTCTGTTTTCTTGATTAACAAACTGAGACTCAAGGGTGGCATCACTCCCCAAAGATGTTAGGTGACTGAGAGAAATGGTATTTGGCATACCCTTTCTTTCCATGTAACCTGCATTTAAAAAATTCGACTCTTGATTAGTGTTCAAATGGACCGTAGGGACCTGTTGTGAAATCACAAACTATTGACTATTATGATATCATAGAATTATGGCATCAGATTTGCCTTTTTCCCATCGGAGAGGCTGAAAGCCACAGTTATTTAATCTAAGTGCTTCTGTAAGAAGAATCATAAATAGCTTTAACGAACAGAAATGTATTTCTCACAGGTTGGGAGTCTGGATTCAGAGCAATAGCCATTATGAAAGTCTGCCTGCCTGCTCTTTTCTCGTTTCTTTTCAGTTTCTGTTTCTTCATGTGGCTTCCCTCCCCCACCCTTTCCTTGCTTCTCTGCCTAATTTGTCCTTTTTATATCTCTATAGTCATTGAGTTTAAGCCTTCTCTACACCGCTAGGCTCTTAGGAACATAACAAACAGACTAGAAGTGCCCTGGTCACTGTCACACACATAAATGGTCACCAAACTTGAGATTTGCGACTTCTAGTCTAGAGCTTCTCTTTTGCCCACATTTCCTCCTTGTGCATGGTAATTACTGTCAGAAGTTTCTGGAATTACACTTTATAATTTTTCTACCCAAATAAACTTCTATAGAATTCACCAGCTGCCTAGTCCTGGCTGAAATAGTCCAGAAGCCTTAGGGGGCTATCTAAGCCTTTGTGAGAAGAGTCAAAAAGAAGAAAACAAGCAGCACACACACGTAAGTGTATGGATGTGAATGAAAGATTGGAGCCTGCCCTGTGATGAGAGAGAAGCCAGCTTGAGGCTCTGGGGTGTCAGGATTTGGAGCTGTCCAGTTGGGACTCCTCTGGGTGTGGGGAGGCGTAGAAAAGGGGTCTTTGGAGTGGAGGGAAGGGCAGACGCCTGAAACCTGGGGATCATCTCAGAAGTGTGCTGTGTCTAATGCCCTGCACCGGGCTGGGGTCCGCAGCAATCATGGTGCCCGCTGCAGCTACGAGCGGAGAGGCGGGACGAGGAGTTGGACAGGTGGCAAAAGTGAAGATCTCAGCTCTTCAGCAAATGGCTCTTTGCTCACTCCCACCTCCAGCCCCCGACTCCTTATTATCAAGCCCTTTTCTGTCACGTCTTCTCATCACCCTGTCGACAGGCCAGAGCGGACCAAATATCGTGCTTGCATCCCCAGACCACTAGGCCTGGTCTAGCCGGCTCACGGGGTAGCAGTCCAGTCTCGCTTCTTCAACAACGCCAGTGGTCAGGCGCTCACCACCGCCAAAGTAGTCATCTTTAGATGACTCTGACTCAGAAAGTTTGCAGTGAGTTGACACCCGGCTCCTAGCACCCTTGTCTACCGGGGGTGGGTGGGTGTGCATGTGTGTGCGTGGGTGTCTTGGAGCGGGGTGATCGGGAGGAGAGGATATAGTTGGGGGAAGGGGCTGTACCCAATTGTCTGCGTCTAACTCCAGATCTCCTGTCCTGTAACACAAGCTCTCTATCCTGTGTTGTGAGGACCCGCCTCCTCAGGAACCTCTGAACAGCCATCCTGTTTTCATTGTCTAGCTGTAGCCGATAGCGGAGCTCCTGGCACGGAACACAGGGCCTCCAGAAGGGGATGAATGCTGGCTGCAGATAATGGAGGGGCAAGTGAGCAGGAAGCAGGAGAGGGCTGTGTCACTTACAGAGCTGAATGAGCTCCCCAGGGACCCCCCTACCTCTGTTCCCAGTCACGTGCCCCCACCCGCCCCCTCCTTCCCTCCCAGCCCAGGACTGCTGGGGCATCTGACATCAGATGCTCACAGTCCTCCCCAACCTTGGGGCAGAGGCGAGAGGATTCTTCTCATCGACAGGGAAGAAGGATGGCTACCTCCTGTCCTGAGTCCCTTGACCCCCTGGTTCCAATACCTGCCCTGTCATGACAACTCCAGGTCAGCAGTGGCAATCCTGTTTTCAAGGGAACGTTCAAAAGTCCCCTTCATGTTTTACATTGTCTGGTGATTTGGTTTGTTCTTGCTTGGGCCCAGCCATCACTGTCCTAAACCTAATTTCTTTTTTCCCCCTAATTTCGACTCTATCCTTAATTAAACATTACCTTGCTCTGAGACCTTCTATTGAAAAGGGCATATGATGCAGCCCTGGTGGTGTAGTGGTTACTCGTTGGGCTGTGATCTGCATGGTCAACATTTCAAAACCACCAGCAGCTCCTTGAGAGAAAGACTGGCCTTTCTACTCCCGCAAACATTTCCAGTCTCAGAAACCCAT